TTGATAATGTTTTTTCTATAACTAACATTGCTATGATTGATAGTGGCGCTGATGTGAGTTGCATTCAAGAAGGTCTTGTACCTACTAAATATTTTGAAAAAACAACTCATATGGTTAAATCTGCATCTGGTCATGCTTTAGATATAAAGTATAAATTATCTAATACTCGTACTTGCCAAAATAAAGTTTGTATTCCTCACTTCTTTTTCTTAGTAAAAAATCAGTTATACCCTTCTATTATTCTAGGAACTCCTTTTATAAATGCAATTTATCCTTTTACTAATATAAATGCTAAAGGATTTTCTGCTAGTTATAAAAATCAAGATATTAGTTATACTTTTATCACCGAACCTATTTCTAGAGATATTAATGCTCTAATTGAAATGAAACAAAAGCATGTTGATTATTTACAGCTTGAGATATTTAGTATGAATATATTCGATACTTTAAAATCTGCTAAAGTACAGGAAAAAATTAAACTCATTTCTAAAAAAATGGCCATTGATATTTGTGCCGATCATCCTAGTGCCTTTTGGAATCGGAAAAAGCATATTGTAACTCTTCCATATGAAGATGATTTCTCTGAGGAAAATATCCCTACCAAATCACATCCTTGTCAGATGAATACCGAATTGGTTGAATTCTGCAAAAAAGAAATTGATAATTTATTACAAAAAGGGTTGATAAAGCCTTTCAAATCACCATGGTCGTGTTCTATTTTTTATGTTAATAACGCAGCAAAAAAAAAACGAGGTGTTCCCAGGTTAGTTATAAATTATAAACCTTTAAATAAATTTTTAAAATTGATTAGGTATCCTATTCCAAACAAAAGGGATTTATTAACCAGATTATATGATGCTAATATCTTTTCAAAATTTGATTTGAAATCTGGATATTGGCAAATCCAAATATTTAAAGACCATTCATATAGAACGACATTTAATGTTCCGTTTGGACAGTACGAATGGAATGTAATGCCTTTTGAGTTAAAAAATGCTCCCTCAGAATTTCAAAAGATAATGAACGATATTTTTAATCCCTATTTGGATTTCATCATAGTTTATATTGATGATATTTTGGTATACTCAAAGACTCTTGAAATGCATATTAAGCATTTAGACATTTTTAAGAAAATAGTTATTCAAAATGGTTTGGTCATATCTAAACCTAAAATGAGTCTTTTTCAAACAGAAATTAGATTTTTGGGTCATTTGATTTGTCAAGGAAAAATGACTCTTATTCAGCGATCTATTGAATTTGCATCGAAATTCCCTGATATTATTATAGATAAGACACAATTACAGCGATTTCTGGGAAGTTTAAACTACATTTCCCCATTCTACAAAAATTTATCTCGAGATTTAGCTTCGTTATATGACAGGCTAAAAAAAGATCATAAAAAGCCTTGGACTAATAGTCTCACAGATCTTGTAAAGACTATTAAAGAAAGAGTTAAATCTTTACCTTGTTTAACCCTTGCTAATCCTGCTTGGCCAAAGATTGTAGAGACGGATGCGTCTAATATTGGGTATGGAGGTATATTAAAACAAATTAATCCACATGATAAAAATGAATATTTTATTCGATTTCATTCAGGAAAATGGAGCGAAGCTCAGAAAAATATGCGACGGTAGCTCATGAAATGTTAACTATCGTTAAGTGCGTTTTAAAATTTCAAGATGATTTATATAATCAAAAAATTTTGATAAAAATTGATGCTCAGTCAGTCAAGTATATGTTTGATAAAGATTTTAAACATGATGCGTTTAAGTTAACTTTTGCTAGGTGGCAGGCACAATTAGCCCCTTTTGATTTCGAAATTCATTATAAAAAGGGAAGTGATAATTCCCTCCCAGACTTCTTATCAAGGGAATATCTTTCTTCTGATGGGTTTTCTTGACTTCTTTCCTGATAAAGATTTGGTTATGATTTTGAAGGCAGTTCCTCTTATTAGAGATTTAAAGGAACTTATATTATGGAAAATTATAGACAGAATGGTGATTGATATTGTCAATAATTACATGATTGAACAAGAGTTTTATGAAAAATTTTATTTTGATGAAGTTTATAACCTCTTGACTGATTAAAAATATAACCTCTTGAATGATTAAAACTAAATGTTATGTTTGCAGGATGGATCCTCCTTGGATAACCAAGGCTAGAGGAAAAGGCAGTTATACTTGCGGAAGGGGAAGATCATCCCCAAGTTCATCACGATCATCATACGGATCTTCATCATCTAGTACTCCAATTATACAAAAGGGAGGAATGAGTTTATATAACTTAAACTCTAGAGCACAAGAAAAAGCTTTATCATCAATACATCTGGAAGATATTCCAGAAAGTGATCCATTATATGCTAAACTACAGGAGTTTATAACTCAAAAGCAGGGTGATTCTTTTGCTTCAATCGCCAAAGAAGAAGTTGATGATATCAAAACATATGAAAAGGTAGAAAAAAGAGAAATGATATTTCTCTTAGAAAACTCTGACATACAGAGAAGAGAAAAACCTTGGAAGATATTCCAGAGGTATTTAGTTAATGGGCTTTATTTCCTGGGTGAGTCATACAAAACTCGAAAATATTATGAGACTCTGTTGATAAGCACAGGTATTGAATTTCAACATTTTTCAGGATATAATACAAGTGAGAATGTTTATAACTTCTCTAAAATGATTATAAAACACGTCATTCATATTGAAGATTGGGGTATTTCCTCAATGATTGAAAGACAATTCAGTCTAAACAAAGTCATGGTAAGCTTTACCTATTGGGATTATATTCAGGCATTTAATAAAGTTCTTTGTTATAACAATGAGAGGCATAAACATACTTGGTTTATAAAAGTATGTGCCAAGATATTTGTGAATCCTATACCAAATTGGTTTTTAAACTGGTGGTCATACCACGGGCCAACAATAAAAATATTGCCCGAACCATTTCACAAGTTATACAAAGAATGGGTCAAGGTTTCCCCAGATCTCAACAAGTTATATCATCAAGAACATATTTGTTATTTTCAACAAATTGAACATATATACTTTTTTATAGAATTCTCTGTTCCATGGATTCATAAATGGGTTCCGGAAGTAGATTTCACTAAGAAACAAATCCCTTGTCTATACAAAACTTATTATAATAATTTTTTGGACAAGCTGATGAAGAAAGATCCTCAAACAAAGTCCATATACGGACAAGAACTGCTGGATCTAATTACGAAAACCATACACGATTATAAATTAATTCCTAATAAAGGAATTATGACTGATGACTCAACCTCCGTAAAACATATGGCTAGAAAAATTTCTAATCATGATGAAGGAGAACAAAATGAAATGATTCTGAGATATCTAGAAGAAGTAAAGAAGAAGATTCTTCTAAATATAAGTCATTACGCAAAATCAGATTCATCAATGCGTAGTGAAACAGGTGAAGATATGCACGAAGCCCAACAATATGAAGAAGAAAGTCCAGTGGATGCACTGAAGAAAGCTGAAGATTTTTTGGCAAAATTAAAGCACAAAGTGTAAAGCTTATGCGCGTCGGTAGCGGGCCCGCGCTACTGTACCAGGACCCAGATAGGGGCCAGTATCCTGTATAAAGATGCTTTTCTTTTTCTATAAATAGGTCTGTTTTTCTTTAATTGAGGGCAGGTTTTAGAAACTATCTCTCCTTCTTTCTTTCTTTCTCTCTCCCCACTTGTAAAATATTTTCAAGTATTATAAGCTTACCGAACTTTGGTCGGAGGAATAGTAAAGTGTGTTGTTTGCTACAATGTACTTCCTTTTATTTTCAAGTTTTTATTTCTGAGTTAAGCCATGACTATGTCCGGCTAAGAAATTATATCTATGCCGGATAACTAACTACTTTTTTATATAGACCATGAACGGATCTAAGCTTTATTTAAATATAGAAGAATTTTAGTATGGCTTCTCGACTTGGTTCTGAGATTGAGGTACAGTCAGATCTAGTACTACTTTTATTGGCTTTGTCTTTATGACTCCGTCTGATGAGCCGTGGTTTTTAGCCCGAAATTGAGTTTAATAAGTAGGGCGCCTCATACCCGGTTAGAACTATCAGACACATGGGCTTAATAAAAGTATGTATTAGCTTCTTGACAGGCCTTTTGCTTGGGTAAAATAATAAAACCATGCAGTCTGAGAAACTATGTTAAAATTCTTGTGTATTTCGATTCTTATGTAGTTGGACTACCTCTAAGAATATTGACTTACTTGATCTATGACTAGGCGGACCACCGCCAGGTCAGTGATCCTGTAACGTTGTTATTATTATTATTATTATTATTGTAAAAGAATGTGGGGGTATTTTTGTAAACAAATATTTTTTTAATAGTCTTTATACAAGGCTTGTTATTTCCAATACATCAAACCAAACAATGTATAAGAAATAATGCAAGCATTACTAATGCATGCATTACTAATACATCATATTCAGCATTATTCTTATACACTCTACCAAACGACCCCTAAATACATTATTATTGTTGTTCAAAATGGCATACCAATTAAGAAGAAAATGAAATTTTGTGGCGGCTTAAATTTTTACTGAAAAAAGCAATAATTGAATGATTATATTGCTTAAAACCAATCAAAGTCATTTTTATAGACAATTTCAATAAATTGTAGTATAAATTATTTTGATGCATTTTTTTCATCATATTAATCTAATTCATAACTCCAAAAATTAGTTAGATTGATTTTCATAAAGCAAAACATGACAAATACAAGTTACTGAATTTGAACATGAATAGCAATAATTGACTAATTTATAGAGCTTTAAACTATTATTGGAGTAAATTGTTATACCTGTATATGGAAATGTGTATACCTCCAATATGTTAGGTTCATCAAAATATTATTGGAACATCAAGTTGTTCTTCTCCTAATCAACTACGTTGTTCGGATTCTCCTAAAATGTTGTTGTACCCGTGTCAGATCATTCAAAAATGCACTAACTCTGGAGGATCAGACACGCATGCATCAACATTTTTAAAGAGTTCGAGCAAACATAGTAAAAAAAATACATCTATCTATACCCGTACAAGATACTTATAGTCACCCGTAAATGAGTTCATATAACGTAGCAGAAACTCAGCAAACATACAGAGAAGCGATTATGTAGAGAATCATTGATTGTTCCGCAGGCGCTCCCTTGATCTTATATCAGCCTACAACATCAAATGTAAGAGAATCACAATAACAACGACATACCCAGTGTAGTCCCACGCAGTGGGGTCTGGAAAGGGTAGTGTGTACGTAGACCTAATGTCTATCTCAGAGGTGAGGTGGAGAGGTTGTTTCCGATAGAGTTAAGAAATTTAAATCAGATATCACCAGCAGCAACTATGCGAAAAAGTTCACTAACCTGCCGGATGGGCTCTGGAACACGAAATCTGCAAGTCATCCTCACAATTTCAATGGCAGTGGCGAGAGATATACGGTGACCAACTGAAATAAATATGGGCTTCAAAGAGCCCTCAGATGATCGCATTGCCTGCATAAGGGTTTAAACAACTTACGCCTAATTTGAAATTTGTGATGAAATAGAATAGTTACTACAGTAAAATTCACACGTGATCGAGAAAACCCAAAGTTTAAGCTTATTTTTCATTTCTGGAACTAGTAGTTAAACGATTCATGGGAAATGAAACAGTTTGGATTAATATAGCCAACCCCAACTTGTTTGAGACTGAGGCATAGTTGTTGTAGTTAACATATTTCAAGGATAATAAAGAAAGAGTGTCTTACCACTCCCCAGGTACATCCAGAGTCCCCAATTAGCAGTAAGACATGTTTGGGAGAGTCTGCTGCTTGAAGGAGTTCTCTTACCGTAGATTGTGTAAGACCATCAACATGGTGTAACTAGAAAAAGAAAGACAAAAAGACGGAATGTTCATAAACCAGTTCACCATTGATGCAAAACTAGTTATATAGAAATAATTCAATATCAAGCTAAGTCTATGTATAAGTATAAGAGAAAAAGTGGCCAGTCCGATGCACAAAGCATCCCGCGTTAGCAGGACAGGCAGAATACTAGGAGATGTTTGACAGTTCAGTATTCTGCATAGAGTAGTGTCCGATCTTTTGGAAACAACCTCTTTACCTCCATGAGGTAGGGTAAGGTCTGTGTACACTCTACCATCCCTAGACCCCACTTGTGGGATTACACTGGGTATGTTGTTATTAGAGATTCAATGAGAAAGATCAGACTACGATCTATCTTTCCTACCCACATTAGGTTCGCTTTATGTTCCTTCACTAAGAGCGAACAAACAAAAGCACGTTTCAATTGAGTCTACCTAGATTTTTAAGAAACTTGAGGATAAAGAAGTTTAAACTTACATTCTTCCCCACCCCAACAGTAGGAAGATCAGCTAAGACACCAATATGACAAGCCAAACCAAAACCTGCAGAACATAATTGTGGTTGTCGAGTTTTTAGCAAAAAATAAGTGTGAAATAGTACAGTTGAATTGATAAAGATGACTCATGTTCATATGATATCAAATTTAACAACTCTCTCAAGTTGAGCAGTCAGTGATACAGATAAAACTAATCAGTGAAGTCAACTTTCTAGTACTCTTATTAGATTTCATGAACAGTTTTCCCAAAGAGTATCTAAGAGGAGCTTAATCGTAAGTTATATCAAAGGGATGATTAAAGCTGAAATATCTTTACAAAGCCATGGCAGAACATCGGATTCAAACATATGATTGTGTTCTTTAATCCAGTCAAATTATCATCGGGATAAAGAAGATCATGATTAGCAGTAAGAAATTCCTTCTGATAACACAATATGACAGTGTCAACTTAGTGTCATAGATTAAGCACATTGATCACGACATGTAGTGGAAAGTCTTAGAGAATGATTAAGGGAGATGCAGAATTACATCAGCTGAGTACAAATTACGTTCAGGTCTCACCTGTTAATGAAAAAGCACTAGCAGCACATATATAAGAAGAGAGATATAAAATAGAGAAATATCCAAAGAGAATTAACATTTACAGATCAATATCCGAGAACCAGCTAGCTGATATACGTTAAAGAGGATATAGCTAAAATGGTATCAAGAGATTGCAGAACTCAGTTTCGTGTCTGTGGAATTACCTAAGCTATTTACACTATTATACATTTTTCTTAGAATAGGTTTTGGGAATAGAAGTTACTAGTAATTACTTTGACACACACACAAATTAGGTTGTAAACACTAGATGAAGAATATGATCATGATGTTGGACGATCTCCTCAATATCGCTGAGTACCTTACACAAAAGATGGAGACAGCATGGTATCTACTAATGTAGAGTCATAAACAATCTGCTAGATTTGGAAATTTTCTTTTTATCAGCTTTAGATAGAAACAAAACTTGCCTCGAGGATGAAGCAATCCATTGCCATCAACCATTAGTAGCTGTCAACACGAAGGTTAAATAGATGTCAGGTATTAGATTTTACGTAGTCCAGCTCAATAAGGTCCGTTGACTCCTACTACAAGTTGGGTATAAGAGAAAAGGGAAGGGGGAGGAATTAGAATTACCGGTGAGAGCAAATTTTGTAGCATAAACCCTTTCTTAGCTGCATCTATAGTCAAAGTTCCATACAAATGCCCCTTAAACTAAATATAACCACTAACTCTTAGATGTTTTGGCCCTGTTACACCACCAAATGAGGCCTCCGTTTGTACAACTCCAACATAATTCTTTTACTTATTTTTCACCCAACTGTACCTTTTTCCCTCTTGAGTACATTATAGTAGATAGAGTATAAGAATGTGCTTCATCTATTTGAGTTAGCGGATGAGGTCAAACTTCCTACCTATAATCGGGAGCAGGTTGGGTGTGAAGCAGAATACCGATGGTATGCGGAAGGTGTAGATTTGGTCTAACCTGCCCAATACCAGACAATGTCTTTCCAGGAAAGGATTGCAGCTCTAAAAGTTCTTTTACTACATGGTATATACCAAACTTATCATAACCTGTGGTTGATTCGAGCCAATATATACACTCTTAATCAAAGTTTCACCATTTGTAGAATGAGAAATAAGTAGGGAGAGGGGGGCAACAAAGGAGGAAAGTTATCAATATTTACCTGCGGGTAGAAACAATGAGCATTGTTCTTCATTTTATCCAAAAGCTCTAGAAGCACAGGAGCCTAAAGAACCAGTTCAATATTACAGCAATCAGTTTACATCATTCAAAACATATAGACATGATCACTCCTTTTTAGACAAACAACAAAGGCGATAAGTCAAAACACATTGTGAGCAACGGAAAATATAGAGAATATGAATAAGACCTCTCTGAAAGCAAGGAAGCCAGGAAGATATGGAATGTGAAGCCTAACAATAGAAGAATCTTCATAAACAACTTTGTGAGTGGTCAAGTCCAACACAACAAGAGTGCCACAGGCAATAGATGAATCATCTTTTGAAAAACTTAAGTCAACCCCACCAACATACTTCAGTATTTCACAACTTCCTTCTTTTTCTCTTGTGGGTAATCTCCATTTGAAGTCATCTTCAGTAATCAATTTCCCCTTTAGAGAATCTTGAACCCTGAGCTGAGTAAAAAAGTACCCAACTTGTAAAGATTCAATCTTTTATATGTACATTAATTACTACTGAAGCAAAAAACTTTACATCTTCAATAATTAGTTGCCCCATTAGAGAATCTTGAATCCTAAGCTGATTAAAACAGCACTCAACTTGTAAATCAAACTTTACCTGTATAAAAATTATCAATGAAGCAAAAAACTATACATTTCAGTAATCAGTTGCCCCATTAGAGAATCTTGAATTCTAAGCTCCAACTTGTAAAGAATCAAACTTTACATGTGCAAAAATTACTACTGAAGCAAAAAACTTCATATTTTCAGTAATCAGTTGCCCCATTAGAGAATCTTGAATTCTAAGCTCCAACTTGTAAAGATTTAAACTTTACATGTGCAAAAAAATTCTACTGAAGCAAAAAACTTCATATTTTCAGTAATCAGTTACCCCATTAGAGAATCTTGAATTCTAAGCTCCAACTTGTAAAGATTCAAACTTTACATGTGCAAAAATAACTACTGAAGCAAAAAAAACTTTACATTTTCAGTAATCAGTTGCCCCATTAGAGAATCTTGAATTCTAAGCTGATTTAAAAACCCCAACTTGTAAAGATTCAAACTTAACATGTGCAAAAAAATTCTACTGAAGCAAAAAACTTCACATTTTCAGTAATCAGTTGCCCCATTAGAGAATCTTGAATCCTAAGCTGATTAAAACAGTACCCAACTAATAAAGATTCAAACTTTACAACAACAACAACACCATAGCCAGCATAATCTCATAAGTATGATCTGAGAAATCAGATGTACGCAGAACTTATCTCTATCTTTATGTAGCAATGAGGTTGTTATCAATAGACTCCCGACTCAAAAACAAAGTTTTTGAAACAGGATTGCAAGAATAATACGACAATTAAATAGCAAGGGGAGCTAACTATTGAAGCATAAAAGGAAAGAAAGATTGAATTTTTTTTTGATACTTACCCAATCCATTTGTTGTGAACTCTGAAATTCATTAGAGAAATTACTGTTTGAAGAAGAGGGTTCCTTGGCATCGTTCATAATTTTTCTACGCCCAAATGAGACATTTTCATCGACTTTGTGATCATCCCTCCATTAAAACTGAATATTTTATGCTAAACATGCTCTATTAATTTATATTATATTGTAATGTAATAATTAATCTCAATATAAAAAATTGCATAGGATAATGTGATATGTTTGGCTATATGGAAAAATTAACTATACCACTTATTTTACTATTTCCTTTAAAATTTTCTACCATTTAAATTTTTTTTTAAAAACCCTACTTTACGTGATGTATCAATCGGATACATCACTTTACGCAGTGTATCGAGACGTACTCGATATATTGAGACGTTAGTTTATGCAATGTATCGATCAGTTACATCACTTTACGCGATATATCAAAACGTTGAGTAATGTATCTGAAATCGAGACGCGATGTATCAGGACGTTGAGATATATATTTGAAATCGAAACGTGATGTATCGAAACGTTTTGAGATATATTCGGATTTCACCAAATTTAAAACATAATATAAAAAGTTTGGTTGATATATCGGCAATATTAAACAATATATAATATTAAGTTGTGCATAAATATGTATTGTTTTTTATTAAATAAGATGAAAATATATTGATAATATCGGAATTAAACTATCTAAAAATATTATACAATTTAAAGGTAAAGTAATCCAAATATAGCAATTACTTCATTCTTAATTTTCGTACAATAATTACAAATATTGCTTGCATAAACAACTTGTGCATTGATTATAATCCTATGAAAAGCATATAATCTAACATTTTGCATTGCAAGACTCATTGAACAAATAATTTAAGTATTTTTTTGTTTAATTCTCATTCGATATATGATAGTCTTAATAAAATCTAATTAAATTTGAAATTAGTGTATTGTAAGACTCACTTTTGAAACAACGCTCTCAACAATAAACATTTCATTTCTAAAAACTCAAATATGAAATCACTGATTAAGAATAGCGATATCTCCCGCAATAATTCATATTGCATTTTAAGTTGTTCATCATATATTATAATTTTAAACATTCATAATGTCTATATTACAATCCCATTATTATTAATCTACATATTGATATTTTATATTATTATTTTGTTCGTAACTTGTTCACCGACCAAACGAACCCTTTTAATACTAATTATGTCACCTAAACATGTGCCGGAACTTGCCTTCAAAGGAAGATGGTGTTTTTCCCGACATTGATATACACCCTTTGACTCATTTGTTGATCCAAATAATAAAACACAAAAATAATACTAACAAATAAATAAATAATAAAATAATAATTTTAAATTATTTTAAAATTATGTATTTATTGATTATTCTCAAATCAAACCTAAAGAACATCTGAGAAAACAGAGAAACATTGTGTTGGTCGGCAAAAAATGCCACTGAAGGAAATCACAAGGTACAAAATCTAGCCAAGATTCAATTTTTATATCAAGAAAAGAAAAGGGGAAAGCATAGAACTTTCTGAAATTACTTCTTTTGGGTAAGTTACTGAATCTTTATTCCATTTTTAGCTTCATTTTTTTTTTTTTTTTTTTTTGTTGGTTTTCATGTTTTTGCATCATGGGTGAGGTTTATAATGTAGACCCATTTGGTTTTTTTTGGTGTATTGTTTATGGTATGATGATCTAGGTGTGTTTTAGTGTTTTTTGTTGCTCAATTTTGTGTTGAAGTTGTAAGCTTTATGCTTTTTTTTTTGTTGTTAATGGAGTTGTAGCTTATTTTCTTGTTTCTTCTGTTTGTGATGAGTGTGTTATGTTCAGATTTTGGGTTATTTGCTGAAATTTGATGATTTTGGTGTATTTACTATTTACTTGCTTAAATTTTTCTTTTTGCAGCTTATTTGCTTGTTTTTCTATCTGTGATTTCTGGTTGAAATGAGGTTGTTATGTTCAGATTTTGGGTTATTTGTTGATGTTTGATGGTTTTGGTGTATCTGATCTGTTATTTGCTTGGTTAATGGTTAAAATAAAGTAGAGAAGTTTTTACTTATAGCATTGGTTGGTTATTTGTTTGGTTTTTATTTGTATGGTTTTTGTTCAATTTTTACAGTGGATGATGTTTCTTATGTAGACCTGTTAGAGGTATCCTGGTTCAGTCTTTGTGATCCGATGATTTTGGGACATCCCTTCCGGTGGTTTGGTGAAATTGGAATGAACTTGAATTCTAGTTTCAGTTGTGCAGAGATGAACATATAATTGTAGGAAACATTTCTGGTGTTCATGGAACAATGTAATAGTTTGGATGAAGCTAAATCATCTCCCTTCCATTTTGTTTTTGGCTGGGTTAACGAGGGAAGGGAGAGGAATGGATGGATGATTTAAACGTCGAAATTATTCCCTTCTCCATTGTTTGGAAATAAGATTAAGATGTACCTCTTCTTTTTTTCTCTTTTTTCCTTTTCCTGTCTCTTTGCACGATGGTACTTATGTTTCCCCTGTATGTGAACTTAGTCACACATTGACTGAAGTGTCTTGAATTTGAATATGCAGGGCAAGGTAGTAACCATGACTGCTAAAACCAGGAGGAGAATGGCCACAGAAAATGGGGACACAACTACAGCTGAAGATTCTGTTCTTGTGACTATGATCAGTAATGGGGAAGATCTAGGTCCTATGGTCAGGCTTGCTTTTGAAAGTGGGAAGCCTGATGCCCTTCTACAGCAACTTAAGAATGTCGTCAAAAAGAAAGAAGTTGAAATAGAGGAGCTTTGTAAGCTTCATTATGAGGAGTTTATTATTGCGGTGGATGAGCTGCGCGGAGTCTTGGTCGATGCAGAAGAGTTAAAAGCTGAGTTGCAAACTGATAATCTGAAGCTGCAAGATGTGGGGAGCGTCCTTCTCTTAAAACTTGAAGAGCTTCTTGAATCTTTTTCAATTAAGAAAAATGTTACAGAAGCAATTAAGATGTCAGGCAACTGTGTCCAAGTGTTAGAACTTTGTGCGAAGTGTAACAACCACGTTTCTGAAGGTCGGTTTTACCCTGCTATCAAGGCTATTGATCTGATTGAGAAAAGTTATTTGCAGAACATTCCCGTCAAGCCACTCAGGACTATGATAGAGAAGAGAATACCACTGATTAAATTGCATATTGAGAAGAGAGTAACCAGTGAAGTTAATGAATGGCTAGTTCACATAAGGAGTACAGCAAAGGATATTGGGCAAACTGCAATAGGATATGCTGCATCTGCTCGTCAGAGGGATGAGGATATGCTAGCCCGTCAGAGAAAAGCCGAGGAACAAAGCTGTTTGGGGTTAGGAGACTTCACTTATACCCTAGATGTTGAAGAGATTAATGAAGAATCTGTCTTAAAGTTTGACCTGACACCTCTTTATCGAGCATGTCACATTCATGGTTGTATGGGGATTCAAGAGCAGTTTCGTGAATATTACTACAAGAATCGCTTATTGCAGCTGAGTTCAGATTTGCAGATTTCATTGTCACAACCTTTCCTAGAATCCCATCAAATCTTCTTGGCTCAGATTGCAGGTTATTTCATTGTTGAGGATCGAGTATTAAGGACTGCTGGTGGCCTGCTCTTGCCTAATCAGGTTGAGACAATGTGGGAAACAGCTGTAGGTAAAGTGACTGCACTCTTGGAAGAACAATTCTCCCACATGGATAGTGCCAGTCATCTTCTCATGGTCAAGGATTATGTGACTCTTCTTGGGTCAACCCTCAGACAATATGGCTATGAAGTGAGTGCGATTCTTGGGACTCTAAATAGTAGTCGAGAAAAATATCATGAACTTCTTTTGGCAGAGTGTAGGCAACAAATAACTGCTGTAGTCACCAATGATACATTTGAGCAGATGGTCATGAAGAGGGAGTCGGATTATCAGGCAAATGTTTTATTGTTCCATCTACAAACCTCTGATATAATGCCAGCTTTCCCTTTTATTGCTCCATTCTCTTCCATGGTGCCAGAATGCTGTCGCATCGTTAAGTCATTCATCAAAGATTCTGTCAATTACTTATCATATGGGAGCCAAATGAATTTTTTTGATTTTGTCAAAAAGTATTTGGATAAGCTCTTGATTGATGTACTGAATGAAGTCCTACTTGAGACTATCTACAGTGGTACAACTGGTGTGTCTCAGGCAATGCAAATTGCTGCAAATATAGCTGTTTTTGAAAGGGCTTGTGATTTCTTTCTTCAACATGCAGCCCAACAATGCGGCATTCCTGTCCGTTTAGTTGAAAGGCCTCAAGGCAGTTTAACAGCCAAGATTGTCCTTAAGACTTCAAGAGATGCTGCTTATATTGCATTACTAAGCTTAGTAAATGCAAAATTGGATGAATTCATGTCCCTCACAGAAAATGTCCATTGGACAGCCGATGATGCCCCACAGCAAGGCAACGAATGCATGAATGAGGTGGTTATATATCTCGACACCCTCTTGTCTACTGCTCAACAAATTTTACCTCTGGATGCTTTGTATAAAGTTGGGATTGGAGCTCTTGAGCATATCTCCAATTCAATTGTGGGAACTTTTCTGAGTGACTCAATAAAGAGATTCAATGTTAATGCAGTAATGAGCATCAACCACGATTTGAAAGCATTGGAGTCTTTTGCTGATGAGAGATTTCACAGTACTGGGCTGAGTGAAGTTTACAAGGACGATAGCTTTCGAAGTTGCTTGGTAGAAGTTAGACAATTAATAAACCTCCTCCTAAGCAGTCAACCAGAGAACTTCATGAATCCTGTCATAAGGGAGAAGAACTATAATGCTCTAGATTATAAAAAAGTTTCTACTATCTGTGACAAGTATAAAGATTCAGCTGATGGACTCTTCGGAAGTCTTTCAAGCAGAAACACAAAGCAGAGTGCTCGTAAAAAATCAATGGATGTGTTGAAGAAGAGATTGCGGGATTTCAACTGAAACTTGTGATAAATGAATGAGAAACTAGCTTTTTCTGTTAGAAGTAAATGAAAAACTTTATTTCCTGCTGATTTTGCTTCAGAAAGATTCACATTAGCTGTATCTTCGTTTTCAATCATGTTAGCACTACTTTGGTCATTTGGATAAGAACTCATCAGTTTTGCAGATAAGATGCCATTGACTCTGTTTGATAGAATGTCTTCGTAGCAATTATGTGAAACAAAATGCAAATGGAGCTAGTGGAACTCCAGATGCATTTCATATTAGATCAATAACAGACTGTCTTCTCGCATTTACCCCTGGTGCAACTCCCTTCATAGCGTACTTACATTTTTTCTTGTTGCAGAATTACAAGACTCAGTTACCTATTTTTCCTGACTAATTTATCTTTTTGAAAAAATAAATTAGTCAGGAAATTTGTTTATTCAATTGAGGGAAAAAAGTATCTTTTATTTGTTGTGTACTGAACAACTTAGCGTTCAATTTACTTCTCTATTATTGTTATTGTGACTCGTTTTTGACAATTTGTTTTTGTTACTTCTCCGTCACATCTTCTCCTCTCATATTTCAATCCTCAGAGGAATAATGAGTTCTGCATGGGTCACTTTGATACAGATGGTTAGTGTTTGTTACTGTTTTCTGCACTTATCTTAATCTTGATTTTTCAATAATTTCCACTTTTTTTAGAGATGCTGTAAATTTCGCTCTTCAGTGTGTTTATTCAGCTGGTATTAGACTTCCTGTTTGTCAATATAACTAGTTAAATGAAAAATGGAATTACTCTTTGGCTCTATGTAAACATCCATTGCTTCTCTATTATTTTCTTGACCCTCGTTGTTCTTTCCGTTTTTCTTCCACATGCTCCTAGTGCATTATGATATATCTTTCCTGCTAGTCTACTTGTCTTTTTTTCCACTTCCACCCCTAAGAAAGTGTTTTTGTGTTGAACCCTATGGATACAAGTAAAACATACTATAGGTTTTGAGAGACCACTTTGTTTTGCTTTCTTGCTTGATTAAATCTTCCTTGGTATGGACTCGTGACTACTTGTTGAAATATCTTACTGCATGCAATTTCATGTTTTTATTTTTTCTTCTTCTAGTGTTTTTTTCTTTGCGTCTGTGGTGATGTCTAAGATATGTTTCAATCGCTATAGATACATACAAAGTCATGTTTTGTGAATAAAATATGGTTTATGAAACTACATAATTTTTCATTTGTATTAGCTTTTGCCATTAAAATGAAGCAATCTATTGGTTTATGATTGCAGTTGCTCTGGATTGTCTTACATCAAGGTTAAGATAGAAAATGTCTAGTATTATTGGTCAAGTGGCCCATTATTCTGATCGAACAGCTCTAATGTCTGCAATGATGTCTTCATAAAAAATGTGTGCACTGATATAAGAGTTACTGTTTTGGACTGTTAGGTTAGTATGGAGGTTAGAGATATTTCGTATTTTCTAATGAAAACTATGAAAAGTGATTTTTATGGTGTTAACCTGTATCATGTATAACATAGACTTGGGAATAATAACATTTAAATTTATTCAAGACCAAAGGGTTTTGTGGATTTTTGGTTGTCCCTTCTGTCTGCATTTTGGGTGGCGTCCAGAGGGATTTCTTTATGAGACGCCTAGAATGGCAACAAATGTGTGTCATATTGCATCAAGTACGAGATGTTTGATGGTTCTATGAATTTCATTTTAATTCATTGTGCAAGTCAGAACAGTCATTCTCATTAGACATTTATTGAGATTTTCTGTCCAACCTGAATTCTCAATATGTTTTAGACCTGCATTGTAGCTGTCTTTGGGCCACAGCTGAATCGGTTTTATATATAGTGGTCCTCAGTTTTGGACCTCGATGGTCTGGAACAGGATAAATTGGTTTAGTTATATTGTTTTTCCAAGTTGAGCAAACGCTTTCGGAACTCATCTGGGATTCAGGGAACCATAGTCCTGGTAGTGAACAGAACCGGTGGCAAGCAGAACACGCGGTAAGACCAAATATCATTTCTCCTTTGTGCCTTGACTGCTTTCAGAGGGAGGCGTAAACTGATGTTGATTTTATTGATCTCTATGGGGAGTGTAGAGGGTATTATCTAGGTTGTGCTTTGCCTGTGCCGTTAAGCATTTCTATTGTTTGACATTCTGACTTACAAAATTTGATCCAAGTGTTTCATTGTTGTAACAATTTGTGAGTCCTTTCATAGTTCTTCCTAGCTACGGCCATTCATGTTGTTCAGTAGACTGGTAATCTTGAGGGAGTATCTCCAAAGCCATAGTGGGGTAGCTTAGAACAAGCAAGTACGTATTGCTTATTTTACACTGCTACCCCAGATAGATGACCTAGTTTGTCAAGCTTGGAAATTAATTTAGATTGAGGGAGTAGTGTGGTAGATTTTTAATTAGTGTTACAAGTTGCTTATAGCAATAATTATTATTATTTCTATAGGTTGTTGCTGATTCTGGGAGTCACAGTCCCATAGCGGCTACAGATGCTGCTATGTATAGCGAGAGCTACTAGAGCTGCTGCTACTCCAGTTACATACCATGTGAGGTTGGTGTTTCCCTGACTCAAATATTTAACTTCAATGGTGTTCTTCCTTTTCCTCTTCGAAATAATCGTTATCTAGATTCTATATTACTTGTAAATTAAAGCTCTAACACCTTAGAGTAACTACTAAGTACCTGGACTCTGCAATGCAAACTCATTTTTCAGTTCACTATCTCATAAAATCCAACTTGTTCTTCTCGAAAAGGTTTTTCTCTAAAAGAATTTTAGAAGTCTATACAGCTTGGATTTTATACTTAGGTAAAGGTGAACAATTTAAAAAGATTTTCCAAATAATATTCGACCAAATTGTACGCACTTTAACTTCTAATGGTTTCTACCTTCAAATTCAGGGAACTTTTACTCATCCATGAACAACTACAAACATGTGGTTTGGCAGGACTGCATCTGCACTTCTAATGGTAGCCTAGTTAACACATTTGCCGCTTTTAGCTGCCCTGTAATCTGTCTTATCAATCATCTGGGGCATGAGACATTATCTGTACTTGTTGGTCTGTCTTGAAAATCACTTCCTGGTGAATCCTCAACAATGACATCAGGCACAAATTTAGCACTTCTGCAAAGTGCTCCACACCAATAGCTACAGAAGAAACTCTACCTGTATCTGCAGCAAAATCAGGTGCGGAGCCAGACAATCAATACAAGACTCCCATTGTATTGTCAATGAAGCGGAGGTTAATGGATCTGAAGGAAAGTGGATCAGTACCGTCCCACAAGCGACTTATATTGGTTACCTTTCTGTCATTACTGCAGTTTGTGTTATGCCAAATACCTTCCGTAGAAGTGGTGTACCCTTGACTCTACCTTGCCTTATAACACCAAATTCTATGTCGAGAGATTACTATAATCCTTCTCTATCAAGTGGTTTTCCATTTGATAGCCTATGCAGCAAAGGTTTGATGACTCCAATGCTCGGTTGTCGTTCAGTGCCTGAAGCACCGACATCACCAATGTTTTTGCTCATATTTTCTCTTTCGATTGTGACACCCACATGTCTATCCTGATTCCTGAACGAAGGCAGATCCTTGATGCTGGTGCCGTATTATAGGTAATGCTTATGGCTTTCAATTGCAGAAAGTCATGCTGTAGTTACCTTCTCAACGTTACCAATCTCGTGTTTTGCTTCTCTTCTTTTTTGGTTTAGCTTGTTTATCCAGTTGTTGAGGGAAGCAAACTTGTTCATATTTTTATGTATTTTGATGCTTTTTACCTCTAGGTGGGTAATTTTTATGAATATGAAAATTACATGTTCACATTCATACTATGGTCATTCGTGATTGTTGTTTCTTGTACTTCCATTACTTCTTTCACTAGACTGCTTTGAACTGTTTTTTCTTGAGTTAGGGGGTCTATCGGAATCAACCTCTCTACCTCTGAGGTAGGGATAAGGTCTGCGTACACTCTATCCTTCACGGACTTCATTTTGTGAGATTAGACTAGGTATGTTGTTGATCATCCTCAACAATAGTGGATGCACAGAAAGGAAGTGACTGCAGACATGACCGCTTTACTTTGGACATGTGTTAATTATTTTGTCGGACAAAAGCTTAGTATTTTAGTGGGAAAAAGGGTAGAGGGGCAGGCACATTGTCCATCAAGATTGGAATAGTAAACCACCGAGTCCTTGAGAATTGTTTGGTTATAAAAAAGAAAGAGATCGTAACAAATATTTAATTCAAAACTTAACCTTCTAGGATTTTTGGGTTATCAAAAAGAGGAGAAAAACGAAGGCTCACCCAGAGGAGGTGAGATAGGCAAAGAGGTAGCTTGCATCTAAGCCACACCCAGCCATGAAGATTACAAGGTCTAATAAGGACAAAATGTACACAACCTTATCTCTATGCGTCATCTCTACGTGAGGGAGGTAGAGAGGTCGTTTCTAATAAGACTCTTGGCTACTTAATGTAAATGTAGTATGAAAATTTAAAACTTTTCATATAACAAGTTTTAAGAACCCAAACCAATTATAAAGAAGGAACAAAATAATAAAAGTCGGGATGATTTCATTCAACAAGTACTAAACAACCAAAATCTTTGATCAGAAAGATCACATAGTAAACGATACACTAACTTAAACTCATCACCTCAGAACATTAAAAAAGCTATCACAAGCAACATCAAGCAATAGCTATAACAGACCAGATCCAGATATCACAGATTGCTTCTTCCCAATGAACTTAAGCAGCAATAGATGGCTTGGAAGCGGCAGAAAGTCGAGACCTCTTCTTAGCCAAACTCTCACTTCGCCTTTCCCTTTGTTCCTTCAACCTAGACGCTAAAAGCTTCTGATAATCAGCAGCTTCTGACTTAGCCTTGGCAATTCTCTTCTTCTTGTCGGCGATTCTTGCTCTCTTCCTCTGGAGAGTCAATGGTGTTACCAGCCTCTGGATCTTAGGAGCCTTGCTAACCTCTTTCCCTGTCACACCATAGCAACACAGTCAACATTCAAGAATGGAACTGCCGACAAATAGAAGTATAGAGAGAAAACGAACCCTTTTTGTTTGTGAATGTTCGGCGATAGGTGTTGACATACTTCCTAACATCGTCATCCTTTCCAAGGTTGAAGAGCTTCCTAATCTTGGAAGCCCTTTTGGGACCTCTCATCCTAGGTTTTTCAGTGTCTGTCAGTCCGGGCAGATCATTCTCACCCTTCTTCACAATAACCAAATTCAGAACTGAAAGGTCAGGACTGACGATGCAACCACGGACAGACTTCCTTCTTCGCTCACCATTACGCCTACCATAACCACGGAAGCAAGGAGTGCCTGTTTAATGTGCATCAAATTAGATACTAAATAGCAACAGCTATACAGAAAATAAATAAAATGCATATCTGACATAAAGCACTTCATTACAGATACCTCTGTAAAGCAGAAGACGAACACGGCCTGGAGTTAACACTCCCTGCTTCATTGGGAAACCTTGCTTGTCACATCCTCCCATAATCTTGAAAACGTATCCCTTGAACTCCTGTCAATTGGGAGACACATCATTAGTCTGAAATAAATTTGACTGCAATGGCTAAATTACCATAGGGCCACAAAGTGGACATGAGACCTACCTCTCCCAAAGCATCTCCGTTAACCTCCTGGGAGATCCTCTTGTCATAGAAAGCTCGGCTGCATAACAATTAAGTATCATTAACCAACAGTACTTCCGTATGCACATTTACTTGTCAGTCAATCATAATTCAACATTCAATGTGCTAATGAAATATCGAGACTGCCAAATAAATATGACAGTGACAACTATACATCAAACTAAGCAACATTCCAAAACAAACGTACAGTCGAGTAAAGAGCAGAAATGAAAATATATCTCATCTTTTCATCAAGAAATAATATCCAGAATTTCTTACTACATCATCATATGCATGGGACTGAATACTATAGTGGGCTTGTTAGATATATAATAACAGATCTAGGTGGGGAACTTGTGAACCAAACACAAGCATGCATATGTATATACAGTAGTCTCTATCAACAGTAGCAAAAAATAATTTGAGATGCATCAAGAGTAGTTTTTTGTAAATTAAAATATCAACAAAAGTTCAGAAGGCAAAAATGAAAAAGAGCTCAAAGATTGGTTTTTTTGATAATTAAGAACTCAAGGATTGGTTCATCGACTAGTATTGAAAAACAATATAAGAGAATAATAATTACTTCATTGTCCGAATATTTGATTTGTTATTGAGATATCTATAATGGAACTGGTTTTAAATTGCACTAGGAAATTCTCAAAAAATAATTGTCTATTTTTTAAATTAATATATTCTATTTTGTAAGTTCTATTGTCATGTTATGATATTAAAGTACTAGAGAGACAATAAGTCCATTTTTCAGATGAAAAGGTAAATTATAACAGATTATCCATTTCTATTTCTCTCAAATAAAGAATACTTCTAATGAGGAATCTGAAATGCCAGTAAACTAAATATGGGGTAAATGGATATATTAAGGTTGAATGGATTAGGTTTTTCTAACTTCAAAATCATAACAACGAATTTACTAGAAACAAATGAGAGATAATCAATAGCAAAATACACAAGTAGCATTGCGAATTACATTATTGGTATCTACCTATCTTCAAGTTGTTGCTATTGACTCTTTTACATTGTTTGTTCAATCGAGGGCCTATCGGAAACACTATCTCTACCTTCTCAGAGGTAGGAGTAAGGTCTGCATACACTCTAAGCTCCTTATACCCCATTTGTGGGATTACTTTGTTGCTGTTGATACTTGTTCAGCTATGCCTAATACATGTTTTGTTATTCCATACCAAGGTTCATGTAAAACACTGTATCAAAACACAGATCCTTTAATTTCAAAACCTCAAAACATTCAGCTTACTACAAACTTCCATAACTGTATACTTTTAAAGGATATTAACATCAGAATTCTACAATTTGAGTTTCATTCTTCACACGTACCAAAAAGCATGCTCAATCAAATAAGAAACAGAGATATCTAACAATGAACCATAAAAAATGTATACAAACTACACCAGAAACAGCAAATCCTATTACATTTCATAAAAGGAATATGATAGCCTTACAGTTTCTGGTCATCATCGATCTCGAGCTTCTTCTGGCACCCAGTAGTCGGGTTCGCAATGTTGAACTGCAAAAACAAACAACAAAACACAATAAGTTGAGCAAATTCACAAAGAAAAATTCGTACAAATCTACAACATTGATAGAAACTGAAGATTTAGGGTTAATTAACGTACCTTCATCTTCGATTGAACTCAATGGAAGCGATGAAACTCTGAAACTTTCACGCTGAGCCCCTCTCTCTCTCTCACTCTGTGAGCTAGGGTTTACAGAGAAGACATTTTTATATACAGGCTTTTCTAGGTCAGCTATGTAATGGGCTTTTGGGCTTTGGGCTTTAGAAATTTGGGTCATTGTGAAGTATTTGGGCTTTTCTATATGTCCTTTCAAAAAAGGCCTATTTGATAATATTAGATTTTAGGCTACTATTTAAATTTTGTCCTTATTTTAGATAGTTGTGCAAATATAGCCTATTGAGAAATTAGCCATCTAAGCAATATTAAAGTGAGGTCTAATGTTTGTTTAAATTTACGGATAAAATATTAGATTGTCATCTAACGTTTGTAATAATTTTAAAATTTTAGATAGTGGTATATTGTTTTCTTATAAATAAAATTCAGTTTGCTCGGAAGGGAACTATATATTGTGATCTAGGAGTGGCAAAATCAGTCATAAAATGATGATTTTTCAACCTGATTAAAGTTTGGATAAGTTAGTAACTTGTTTTTTTATTAATTGGACTCATTTTAACTCGTTTAGTTCGGCTCATTTAAAAATAGGAATGATATATGATTGACTCATGAGAAACTTTGTTTGAATTTTTTTTAAAAGATTAGATTTTTTTACTTGATTATTTTACATATTAATAATAATAAGGATTTTAAAAAAATTATGTGTTCAAATAAATTATGAGAAACCAATTTTTGAATTTAAACTTAGAAGGAATTGATGGCATGTTGGGTTATGACCCGATTTTCAACTCATTTCAACACAATCCGCTTTAGCTCAAATAACACTTAAATTGATTATTAATCTGTTATTTCTTAACGCAACTCATTTTGACAATTTCAAATTCAACTCAATTTATTCATTTGACATTTTTATCGTGATCTAAAAGATTCAGAAATTATATTGTATTCTGATGAGTTAATTAAATGGATATTTTATGATCTTGTAAATCCATTTTCATGGTCAATCATCCTATCTATTTAACTTTATGACACTTAAAGCTGAAATAATTGTGGTATTATATTTTTGAAATTGCCAAAGATGTGAGGTACTTAGCTTTATTATGATAATAACTTTTGAGAATGATTGTTTATAGATATTCTCCCAATTCTTTGTAATTTAATCTTTTTCAACTTTGAAATTTCTAATAATGTCATCTTTACAAAAAGGGAAAATAAGATAACGTAAGATTTTCGAATGTACCAATAATTGTTCGATACACGTCTCAAAACAATTAGTTTACCATATGCAATCATCATTTTACAAGAAGTTGAGACTTTTCTTCTTCTATTTTTTTTTTACAAAAAGGAAGAATAATAACAAATAATTAGTAGGGAGGGAAAATATGTACATAATTTAATTTAATTTTACAATATTTATGTATTACTAAATGTGTCCTCTAGTATTGACGAATTAATAATTTTACCTCAAATCTATGTGTTAAAATAAGTACAAATAACATATATCCTAAAAATTCTGTTAATAAAATTTAAATTTTGAATTTGTATTTATCATTTAGTCCAAAACTAAATGAGCTAATTCCTCATTCCATTTGAGTACATGTAACATTTATAACATTTCTTATTAAAGAAACTTAAAAGTTTGAGTCCAAAGAAAAAGGTGGTTATAATCAAGATTAATAGGTACTCTAATGGTACTTGCAAAATTACGGCAAGAAAATATGAAATTAGCTAGGTAATTTATCGGTAATTTTTAGATTATAACTCGTTATGAGCTAATTAAATTTTCTTATTATTCGTTACTAATATGTAACTATATGAGATCATTAGTAGGAGATTTTTACTATTTAGTTACAAAATTTCGTCTGTCCCTATTTTCTCATTTTTTGAATAATAAATCTATTACGAAAAGGTGTGAATTCAATTTTTGCCGTCTCCATCCCCTTTCGCTTCGCTAATCCTCAATGCAGGCACAATACCATCATTGTTTAATTAGGGAAACAAATTGATACCTCTTTGTCAAAAAAAGGTTATAGATACACAACGTAGATAATTTAAAATTAAATTTCTGACTCCGCTATTAGTTGTTAAAAAGAAAAAAAGACAAGGTGGGTTATGAGAAGATAGGACAGTGGTAAGTTAAAGGCAAATTGGAAAAAAAAAAAATATGATGAGAAACGTGGAATTCCAAAGAAAAAATGTAAAGCAGGTGGGAGCATAGTGAGACTCCAACAAGAAAAAATTGTCTAGCAAAAGATAGATAATGTGAAAGATAAGTAGAAAAGGTACTACTAAAATTCGCATTGTGACGTGTATTGGGTTTGAAAGGTGATTAAGTCGTCATGCGGAAGTTTACAAATTGCAAATCATATGATTGATAAATCAGACGATAAAAACTTATACTAAAAACATAATATTATTATATGAAAACTAATAGAAAAGAAAAATATTATAAATTGTTGAGAGAATAAATCTCCCATAAACAAGACTCTTAAACGACTACATTGTGAATGTTATTGTGTTCTTGATATGAGAAAAAGGGTCTTCAATTTATAGGATTCCAAACATTTCTTCTAAGGAAAGAATAAACCAAATATGGAAGAAAATTATATTTTTCTTTCAAAAAAAGTTCAAGCATTTATGGTAATACTTTGACTTTTTTTTAAGGAAAAAAATAAACTTCAAATAAGATAAGAAAATTAGGGCAAAAACCTTAACAACGTGGTAAGTATTCTTTTATCTTTAATTAGAGATCTCATGTTTGAATCTCATCTGTGTATGCATGGAACCTTTGGTATAGAGCGTTTTACTTTCAAAATGAGGACTTTCCGATACGAATATGAATTAATCAAATCTAATACAAATACCAGACATCGAGTAAAAAATGGGAAAAAAGTAGAAAGGTGGCGAACAAGCCTAGCACGTATTGCATGCCTCATTTGTCTTTTTTCCATTCACAAAAAGAAATGGAAACGGAACGCATTGCCGCAAATGTGTTTGTCTCCTTTTATTTCGGTTACTTTCGACAAACAAAAGAATAACTGTTACGTAGAGTTGGAATTTTAAGTTTATAAATTTAAAATTTGTCATAGTGAGACTTCCCCTCGATCCTCTCAAAATTATGTTTTTGCCGGTGTAATCATTCGACATTTTCAATTTACTAATTCAACTAATTTATAATTGAGTCAGCAAATCAGTTAAAATGACTAATCGATCTTTGGCTATTGATGAAGATTTTTAATTATTAGAATTCAAACTCGCGATTCAAAAAAAAAAATGAGGGAAGGGAAGAATTCAAGTCGTATGTAGAGTTCTTTGTATTTTGCACTCATAATATATGGATATTTTTTTTATATTTTTTATAATAAGTGATTTAATGAGGCAAGAATGTATATTGACTAATCATAATTCATCACAATATGTATTTATTGACTTAATATAAATATTGAATACTGTATAAATTTTTACGTGAATTGAAATCGACTATATTTCTTAAAAGAAATAATGCAAAATGTCCTCTTTGACATAATACTCAAAACTTTAAAATATCTTTGATAAAAATCTAGAATCCTCCTCAGATTAATTTATATTGATTTCTTTATCATAATTTAACTCTACTTGATAAGAAGGTAATTTTTTTACTTTATAATTCCATTTCTCAAAATGCACTTCATAAAGTAATTCTCCATTAATCTACTTCAAGATAAAATAATTATTTTATATATATATGATTTTATCTTTTTTCACTTTTATGACTTTTTTGACTCAACTTTGTGAAGTACTAATAAACAACATAATCAATTAAACAAAAAGAATCCAAAAAATCTTAAGTGGTACATGTATGAGTCCACTTACCAAAATTTCTATTTATTGCATTTTTATATGTGTTTCCTTAAGAGACGCAACAGTATATATTTATTAAAACAAAATGAGTCATGCCTTGACGTATTTGACCTACTACTTCGAATAGATATAAGTCTTTTTTTAAAAAAAAATTGGTGAGTGACAAATTAAAACTCAAATTATGTAACTATCATAAACAAATGTATTCTCTAACACGAATCAAATGAAAAATTTATATCATAAGAGACATGATTTTTTTATTTGTTTCACATCAAACCAACTCACATGATTAGTAAAACGTACAGCGGGCCGCAGAAGTTGTTGGGTCGCAAGGCTAAATACTCTTGGATAATCAATAGTAAAGTAAAGTAGTACTCTGAGCGAAGGAAGGACAGGGAAACATATTCTCATTGAAATACTGAAAGATTTCTTTTCTTCCTTGGTTCGATAAAAAAATAATTGAGAACATAGTCACTAAATATTTTCTAACGAAAATTTTCAATAGAAAATAGTGATTTTTTAGTAGCGTGACAGAATTATTTGTAAAGATATATTATTATACTTCCTCTTTTAGAAAGATCTAATTGTGTGGCTTTTGGAGGGTATCTAGATTGTGGATCAGAAATCAAGAAATTTATTCATCTTGTGATAATTCTTACTGATCAATATATAACTCAAATCATAATTATTGTAGATAATTTGTTTCAGTAAAAAGAATATGTAAGTCACCAAAACTAGTATCTACGATTAAATAGTACAATATGTGTAGACATTATCTTTCTAGCTACTGGATGTATTATCTTTCTCTCAAAAAGAAAAAAAAAAGCATTCAAAGAATCAACTACCTGAAGAAAAAAATAATAATTTAAAGTTGAAAGAAAAAACAGACAAAATTAAATAATTTTCCAACACATGATTAGAAGCATGTTCCTCTAATTTTATGGAGTGGAAGTCTACTCTTTATTTTTATTTTTTGGACATACTTCTTTTTTACTTTAATTTCGTACATAGCACCGAAATTAGTCTACATTCATTTTATTGCTACTTATATATATGTGTTGTAATATAGAAAGCAACTCATTATTATATTCTTCTTCATAAAACATTAGAAAAAAATGGAATGGAGGAAGTGTTATTTGGATGTAATATTGGTGCCATTAGGGTTTATAATATGCATGGGATATCATATTTGGTTATGGCATAGGGTTAAAAATCAACCTCTTACTACAATTATTGGTACTAATGCTAATGGAAGACGTTTGTGGGTTGAAGCCATCATGAAGGTAATTAATT